GGGTGAGGTCGGGGCCGGGCTGCCCGGTTTGGGCGAGTTTGTGGGGGGGGGGGGGTCAAGGCGTCACGGGACAAGCTTCCGTGACCATGGGTGACGGCTGTTGCCAATGTCGAGGTGCATTGCGCAGTGCTCCTGCCTGCTGCGTGACCACCTATTCAATCAGCCTCGCAGCTGGCAAAGGCGTGATGCCCGGCTTGTCGTGTGATGCCGCAGTCGGTCTAGTGTTGTTTGGATGCCCCATCATTCACCTGAGGCTGCTCTCCTTGTTCTCAAATGCCTTGAACACCGCAGTCGCCCCCGCCACGTCCCGCGCCGCCAGGAACCGCCCCGCCTTTGACAGCGCCACCTCAGCCGCCAGCAGAGGGTGGCCAGAGGCCCGCAGCTGCTCGACGCACCAGTCAAAGCCGCCGCCGCCGCCGCTGCCGCCGCCGCCGCCTTGCTGCGCGGCCGCGGGGCCGTCGCGGTCCATGCGCTCGGCTACGAGCTGCGCTGCTGTCAGGACGCGCCTGCAGGGCGTTCCAACATGCACCATCCACGCGGATTACATGCACCATCCACGCGGATTACTAGCTGGCTTGCAGTGTGTCAGCGTGTTGCATGCTGACGGCAGGCCACGATGCCCAAGTGTTGCTGCACACGACAAATGAACTTGTGCAGGACGCTTGCCAGCCGCGTGCGCAGCTGGATCAAAAGATCTCAAACGCCCTTTCCATCCCCAAACCCAGCCCCGCCGCACTCACTCTTGCACCAGCGCCCGCCGCCGCCGCTCCTCCTCCCGCAGCCGGTCCGCCCCGCCCCTCGGCCCCGCCCCCGCCGCGCCGGCACCGCCCCGGCCGCGGCCGCGGCCGCGGGCGTGCCCCCCCGCGTGCTCGTCGTCGCCGTCGCTGTCGTCCGAGTTGGAGCCGCCGTCGGCCTCCGGCGGCAGCTCGGGGCTGCTGACGAGGCACGAGAACGCGGCGCGCATGCCCTCCATGTCCCCCAGGGCGTAGCAGCAGAGCACCAAATGGTACGCCGCCTGCAAGGGTTAAGGGCGGTTCGCGAGCCTATTGCTGTGCGCACTAGTTCAGCACACTGCTGAGGACCCGCACGATGCCGCCGGGCGCTTAGCCATCAAAATCAAGAGTGCACTCTAAGCCTACAGGTGTACCGAGCGCCCGCAGCGCCAAGCAGCGCTGCAGAGATTGCCCAGCCCTGGGTTGTTTGGTTTCAGTTTGAGGCATCAGGCGCACCTGATGCTCCGCCTGCGCCCCGACTGCGGCCTCGTACGCTGCCGCCGCGTCCGCATACTGCCCCATCCGCACAAAGGCCAGCCCGATGTTGCGCAGCAGCCGCGCGCGCTGCGGGCCGGCGGAGGCGGGCAGCGTGTCGAGCGCCATGCGGTACGCCTTGATGGCGGGGGGAAGCTTCCCCTGCTCAAAGTAGACGTTGCCGATGTTGATGCGCAGCCTGCACGGGTTCGCAGGGTATGGCCGGGATGCCGATTCCCATGCCTTTATACCACATGCCCGTGGAACGGTGCATGTCGCAATCAGAACCACAGCAGATCAAACCGTCCCCAGCACTGATAGTGGTGCTTTTGCGCTTCCGCCCTCAGCGCCGCCCCCAGCACGCACCTGGCGCCCTGCGGCTGCTGCTTGTTCTTCAGGAGGGCTGTGTAGCCGTCCAGCGCCTCCTGCCACAGCCGGTTGGCCGCGTACATGGCAGCCACCTGTAACATGCAAGTGCGTTGAAGCAGCATGAGTATGGGCAGTTGGGGCTGGGGGCGCAGGTGAAGGGTTAGGGGCGCGTGGGGGTTTGAAGAAGGTCATACCCGCAGGGAACATGGGATGCAGCACCTCAACCACGTGGGCGTGCTACTCCTAGTCCCCTCCCCCTCCCCGATGCGACTTTGGGGCGCGCTGCTGCCTGCTAATGATGCACCACCTTGCCGCGGCCTCACTCACGCGGCCTGGGCCCCCAAACCTGAAACTCCGCCGCAAACGTCAGCTCGGGGCCGCCATAATCCGCCACGCTGTTGGCGTCCCGAAACTTAGTCAGCGCCCTCTCCCGCTTGCGCGCCTCCAGCGCCTTCTCCAGGGCTGTACATGTGTTTTGGGGTGGGGGCCGGTTGGGTATCCGGGTCGGGTGTGGGACGGCGCCCAGGAGGGGCCGGTGATCGATTGGCGGCAAGCAAAGGGTGCAACAGACAGGGGGCTGCCGGTTGGTGATGCAGATCTGGTCAAAATACACGATTGTGGTCTGCTGCTAGGAATTTTGCGTGTCCCAGGCCCTCTGCCGGCCCAGCGTGCGCGCACTGCTCCCCGTACACGGCCTCATCGGCCCCAGGCTCACCCTGCTGCTGCTCGCCGCGCGCGTGCGCCGCAGCGCTGTCCTCCAGCAGCGCGTGCACCCGCCGCTCCATGTCGCGCGCCGCCTCCTCGGGGCTGGCCTTGCCCTTCCTAGGCAGAAGGCTGCTGGGGCCGTTCGCGGCCAGCGCTGAGCGGCCGGGGCCGCCGAGGGGGTCGAATTTGGCGCGGGGCGCCGAAGAGAAGCCGGCGCCGCGGTTGCTGGTCATGGGGCGGGCCTGTGTGTGTGCGGGGGAAGAGAGAGGGCCGCATCTGTGTGCTGAACCAAGTGCGCTGCCCATGCATTAGTTGTGAACCTTGTGGGCAGTCATCGGACAGGCGCACGACACAACCGGCCCGCAGGAAGCATGGACTGCTGTCCAAGTGCCCCGCCCTCACCATGCCGTCCGAGCCCATGGCAGTCCCCACGCGCCCGCCCGCCGTCCCTGGCGCCGCCATGCCGCCGCCCGTGGACGGGGGGGCTCCTGGGGAGGCAGACTCGGCCCCTGTGAAAGCGGGCGACGCCGCCGCTGCGGCCCCTGCGCCGGCGTCGTCGTCATAACCGCTGTACAGCTCGTCGTCCTGCGTACACGGCGTGAGCACCATGCCAGCTCAGCATGCTTTGCGTTCCTGCCACAGTGCATTACAACAAGGAGCACATGCACACACAGCGCGGTGGTGGAGCAATCTGTTCGCACCTCGGCATCCATCTCAGCAGCCCTGAGGGGCGAAGCACAAGTGTGCCGCAAGATCCTGTGCTTTCAGATGCTGAGAGCTAAGCGGCTCCCTTTTCAGCAGCGGTGCTTCCAGCTGCAGCGCGATGCTGAGAAAAGCCAAAGCAGCGGCGCTGCGTGACGAGTTGAAGCGGCGTGCTCGCAGAGGACCGCCGGTCCCGGTGTTCTGCCCACCTGGCTAGCACAAGCACTATTTATGCCTTTTGACAGCTCATGCGGCTGCGCAAACTTCCACAAGGCTTGCAGGAATGTCGAGTGTCCGCTTTGACCGGTTGTGGGTACGTGAAATCAGCATTCGATTGTTCAGTCGAGTGTATCTATTGTTTCATATTTCATCGTGTTTCATACCGGAGTTGCAACGCATCCGTTGTGATCTGAGATAATCACTCTTGTATCACGGCGATGTTTGCCCCGGATCAGTTCATATCGGATTTCGAGGCGCTATCAAAGCTCCTCAGCCCGCAGGTACAGTCACCGATGCGATCGATTAGTGCGGGCCGGTGCGTGTCGCCCCAAGGCCGCTGCGCCAACGCACAGTCCGCGATCCCCCTGAGGGCCGCGATTACCACACACCATGCCAGGACAATGATGCGGCAGCATTGGAGCAATCAAATGGCATGCAAGCCCACGGCGGCCACGGCGGCACGCCCGCGACCATCGGCTCGCGAGAGCTGCTGCCCGTGACAGTGGCGCAGCCCAGGGGTGAGCCAGGTCCCTTGTCGGCGCCGGCTCCGCAGCCGTGCGAGCCCGCAGATGATCCACATGCTAGCTCTGCATGTTCATGCTTCAAACCGTCCCCTCAACGGAGTCATGCGGGCTGCGCATGCCCCCCAACACTCGGCCCAGGAGCGCGTGTGGACGCCCAGAAGGCCGCAGGCTCGAAGCAGCAGCAGAAGCCGCCAGCGGCGCCGGCGGATGAGAAAGACCTGGCCTTCGACCGAGATGACGGCCGCGAGGTGCCGAGGTGCGCACCCCCGCGTGCCCATGCGCACTCTCAACATGTGCAACTCACTACACTGCACAACACTCCTGCACCCGACACAAGCTGGCGGCACATACCCGGCTGGCCGTCCATGCTAACACGCTGCCCGCAAGCATGCACTCACAGATCTGCGCTGCCTCGGTTGCGCGCGCAGCCATGATCTGGTGTACAAGCAGGCTGTGGGCACGTCTGACGCGTTCCTGGGCATGTCGGGCAAGGACCCCTCCTCAGCCTGCTGCGAGACGCTGGTCGTTCGCATACGGCTGCCACAGGCGGCGTCGTCAGCGGGTGCGTCGCGCGGCAGGCGAGAGGGGGGGCGCATGGACTCGTGCGGTGCATGACTGACTGCGGAGATTAGCCTGCGTGTAGTGCAGCGCACGCCCGTCATAACGGGCAGGCGGCCCCCCGCGTCGCTGCACGGACGCACCCGCGTCGAGTGAAGGATTGCCTTTTTTCATGTGCAGGGCTGGACCTGGATGTGCGGCCAACCCGGCTGCGGCTGCTGTCTGAGCACTAGTGAGCGCTCTGACAGGAGGGCAGGGTGCCGGGTGCAGACCCTGAAGCGCGACCACACCTCTACTGTGTGTCTAGTGCTGACAGCTCGCAGCGGGTCTGAAGGCAGCATGCCAGCCGCCCCCCAGCTGGTGACGCTCCTGCCCACTGTGGCGGATAACTCTCATCGGCTCCCACGCGCATCGCCCCACCCCGCCTGCCGTGCAGCAAGCTGCTGCTGCACCTTCCCCGCAAAGTGGACGCCGACCGCGGCCGCGCGCGGTGGGACGCGGCGAAGAGGGAGCTGGCCGTCAGCGCGCCCATCGTGGACGAGGACCGCTTCCCCTGAGCATGCGCGCAAGGCGGCCGCGCGTTGCTCGTGTCGGGATTGGCCGTTTCTGTGCCTGACAATGCGGCGGCTGGCGCTGAAATCGTGCCCATCAAGGCTGCTTTTGTCACCCCTATTGCTGTGGTGCAGTTACCGTGCCGGCCTCAACCCAAACACAGTACCAGACCCAGCGGAAGGAACTTGCCAGCTCAACAGAGCGGGGAAAAGGGGTTGCACGTGTGCTTAGTAAGGCATCTTTAGGCATGCGTTCTTTGGCTCACAGAATGTGCCCACAGTGAGGGCCGCTGCTTGTGAGGGACAGCGCAAATGGTGAAGCCCGGACACTGCCAACATTATATATATTCAATACTATTATGCGCCGCCACTTGGCCCCTGCTGCAGCAGCTCCACGCCGGCAAGCAGGCTCTCCTCCAGCTGCTGCAGCCACCGCGCCACCCCCTCAGAAGTGCCACTGCCCTCCTGCCCCGCCCACGCCGGCCGCACCTCCACCGCCGCGGCGGCACCTGCGCCTTCGCCCGCGCCGCCGGCCCCTGCGAGCCTGCGCACCAGGAAAGCGCAGTGCGCGCGCGCCGCCACCAGCCGCTCGACAGCATTGGGCAGCTTCCTGACCGCGGCCTTCACAGACTCCCCTTGGTACATCAGCGCCCACAGCGCCGCCGCCGCGTACGCCGCCGCCGCCGCGTTGCCGCCGACGAGCAGCCTGCGACCCCCGCCTGCCGCCGCGGCCGCCGCCGCCGCGTCGGCCGCCGCGACGCTCACTGGGTTGCAGCAGCCCGGCTTGCAGCCGCCGCCGCGGCCGAGCACCACAAACGCCTGCCGCGGCTCGGGCTGGCCCGCGGCCGCCGCGGCCTCGGCCCGCGCGCCCGCCGCGCAGCGGTGCGCGGCCTGCGGCGTCCGTTGCTGCGCCAACAGGGCCTCGGGCTGGAGACTCTCCGCGGCAGCCAGCAGCAGCGGCAGCAGCCGCGCGTCAGCCAGCGCCGGCGCCCGCAGCTCAGCGCAGAACGACAGGTTGTGCACGAGCAGCAGCGCCGCGGCGACCGCGCCGCCGTGCGGCGCCTCAATCGCGGCAACGCACAGTTCCAGCAGCCCCGGGGCATTGCTTGCGCGCAGCAGTGCGCGCTGGCCCTCCGATGCCGCCGCAATGACGGCCAGGGTCTGGAGGATGGAGGCGGCACGTGGGTAGTCCTTCTCCTTGGACATCAGCAAGCTGCGCAGCAGCTTCTGCGCAAGAGGGATGAAGCCGCAGCCTGGGTGCGCCAGCGCGGCGCCGCCGTCGGGGCTGCTGCCAAAGTGAAGCAGGGCGCGCACTGCACCGTGGAACGCGGCGTGCGCCACCGCGGCGCCGCCGCCCGCCGGGGCGCCGGCGGCGGCGCCGTCTTGCTGCTGCCCGCCGGCCTGCAGCGCATACAGCACCAGCGTCAGCGGCGCCGGCAGCCGCGGCCCCGCGGGCGCTGCAATCGCTGCGCGGCACGCCGCGCTGCCGGGCGCCAGGCAGGCCAGCAGGGCAAGCAGCTCCGACAGCAGCGCCGGCCGCTGCATGGCGGCGGGCCACAGCTGCGCGGTCACCCGCAGCAGCCCCGCATCCACCAGGGCCTCTTTTGAGGGCGCGTCGCGAAATGCGACGTGCCGTAGCAGCTCTAAATACAGCAGCAGGCGGCGCTCGCGCGCGGCGTCGAGCTGCTGGCGCTGCTGCTGCTGGCGGGCGGCCGCGGGGGCGGCGCGCTGCTGGCGCTGCTGCTTTGCTGAGCTGGGCAGGTCCGCGTCACCGCTTTCCACCTGCTGCTGCTGCTGCTGTGTGCCTGCTGGGTCGATGGCCTCGCCAGCGTCCTGCTCATCCCGTCTGCCTGCCATGATAGCAGTGACTGCACCGTTGTCGCCACCAGGCCGCACCGCACCTGCTGTGCTCGTCCCCTTGGCGGCGGCCGCGCCCAGCCGCCTGCCCGCTCGCCGAAGCGACAGCGGCGTGCCGGTCCGCCTGGCCTCCGGCCCAGACGTCGCGGTGGACGCGACCGACCGCCGCAGCGGGGACGCGCCGCCGCCACGCGCGGGGCGCGCGGACGGGTCTGGTGCAGCGGTGTCCGCGCGGACCGCGCCCAGCGTCCCTGGCCGCGCCGGCCGCTCGCGGGGGGCGCCGCTGCTGCCGCCCACGCCGCCTTTCCCCGCTGCCGCTGCCGTTGCTGCTGATGCTGCGACTAGGCCGGCCCCCAGGGTGGCGCAGCTGCCCATGAGAGCTGCATGCAGGCCTATGCTCAGGGCGGCTGACTTGGCAGACCGGCTGAAAGCCAGCAGGTTGCGCAGCGCCGCCAGGCATGCCGCCTGGCCTGGCGCATGCCGGTGGCCTGCAGCCGCTGCGTCCGGCGCCCCGCCGCCCGCCTCGCCCGGCCCCGCCGCCCCTTGGTCACGCGGATGCGCGCTGACATCACTCCGAAACTGCTCCGGCCCGTCCGCGCCGTTGGCCGCTGCCTCTGCTGCTACCGGCGTCGCATCGCTGGGGTCGCCTGCGCTGTCGCCCTCTATGAAGTATGAGGAGGGCACCAGGCGCGCCAGGGCCGCGCAGAGTGCGGCGCCCGCGGGTCGGCTGTCGCGGCAGAGTGGCTCGGGCGCGGGCTCTGCGGACCGAGCGTGGCGGCGCCATGAGGTTTTCGGGGCAGCGGGGCGCGCGATGCAGTACGGGTGAACGGCGTTGTGTTGTGGGGTGGTGCTTGCGGCAGGCTGGTATGGTAGGCAGGTCGAGGTGCCGCTGCATCACATTTATATAAACTGGACGAGTCAAAGTACAGTATAGGATGATTGAGGGTGCCTGTGAACATCCCATCAGGCCTGCCCGCACCTGCCCCGCCGTCGTCGCCGCCTGGCTCCGCCGTCGGCCCCACCGCGCCGTCCCCGAGCAGCGCCCTCGCGCACTCCTCGTCCGCAAACAGGCACGCGGCCAGGGACGCCAGCTGCCACTGGCACGCCTGTGGGCACAGGGGATGGTCAAGCAGAGCCGAGACAGACACGGCCAGGCTGCCGCCGCCGCCACCGGCCCCGTCGCCGTCGCCGGCAGCGCCCCGACCGGCCCGCGGTGCGGCCAGCATGGCCTGCAGCCGCTGCCGCGGCTCCTGGCGCTGCAGCAGCCCGGCCAGCGCCTGTGCGGCCGCGTGCGCCGCGGCGAGCTGCTGCCTCCCGAGCTCCAGCCGCTGCAGCTGCGCGGCAGCTTCTGCTGGCTCCAAAGCCCCGGCGGACGCTTCCGCCGCCGCTGGTGGGGCCGCGAGGCGCGGCAGCGCCACTGACAAGTCGTTGAGGGCGCCAGAGAGCAGCTCGGGCAGCCGCCGCGCGGCGGCCGCCGCGGAGGCCCGCGCGGCACTCGCCGCCGCTGCCGGCAGCCCGCCATCGTCCGCCCACGCGGCCGGCGCAGGCAGGCCCGGGCGGATGCGGGGCGCCGCGGCGCACGCGGCCGCGAGTGCCTGCAGGGCGGCTGCCACAGCGGCGGCCGACTGCGCCTGCCATACGAGCGCCTCGGCGGACGCTTGAGCGCCGCCGCACGCCCCGTTGCCGCCGCCGCCGCTGCCAGTGCCAGGCCCAAGGGCAAGGCCGCCTGTAGTTGAGCACGGAAGCCATGCGCAGCCGGCTGCGCTGGTTGGGACGATCTCCTCAGACAGCGCGGCCCTGTCGTGTGCGTCAGAGGCACGCAGGGCGCCGAGGGCGATTGTGAGCGTGGGCGCGAGGCGCTTGGGCGGCAGATTATGCTGCGGCCGCAGCGCGCCATGGCATGGCCATTAAGCGACACACCCTGATCGCCATGGCGTATGCAGACCTGCAGATTCCGCCGACCCCCGCCCCCAGGGGCCGGCGCCCGGCGCTCACCCTGCAGTCGCGAGCCACGTCAGCGCTGCATTGCGTGCGGCCCAGCCCCGCGGCAGCCCGCCGGGCCCCCGCTGCGCCTCGCAGCCGCCGGCGACGATCTCGATAAGGGCCGACACCACATCAAGCTCTCCATCGGGCGCAGCCCCGCCAACGCCCGCGCCCGCGCCCACGCCCGCGTCGCCTTGCGCCGCGGAGCGCCTGCCCCGCATCGGCAGCGCCCCGGCAAGGGCCCGCGCCAGCGCTGGCTCGGGGCCCTGCCAGACGCCGCACTGGCCGGCGACGAGGCGCGCCCCGACACCGTCCGGGTCTGCCGCGATGGCGAGCGCCGCCAGCGAGCAGGCCGCCGCCGCGACCGCCGGTGGGGCGCGGCGCGCGGCCGCGGCGCGCAGCAGCGGCGGCAGGGACTCCCAGAGCGCGTGCTGCTGCAGCAGGGACGCGAGGCCGAGGCGGTGCAGCCGCCGCAGCGCGCCGGGCGCCTGCGAGCTGGCGCGGTCGGCGGCGCTTCCTGGGGTTTGGCCGGGCTCATTGGGGCCGCCGCTGCGCGGCTGCTCTCCCTCCTCCCGCTGCCGCTGCTGCACCTCCTCTTGCTGCTGCTGCTCCTCGTCTGGCTGCTGTGCGCCATCCTTGCCGCCCCCCGCCGCATCCGCCGCGTCTTCGCCGCCCGAGAGCGCCACCACGTCGACCGCCGCCGCGGCCGCCACGAACGCGAGCGCCGCCGCGCGCACGCCGTGGCACTCGTACACGTCCGTCGCAACGCGCAGCGCGCGCGCCCCGCAGTCGGGCCAGCCGCGGACGAGCATCCGCTGGGTGGGCTCGGCGCCCGGCGCCAGGAGGGCGGCGAGCAGGCCCATGGCTGAGCGCCGTATGCCGGCCTCCTTGTCCCGTGCGAGCCTGGTGAGATACAAATGGTTGGTCATGGTTGGTGAGGCGCAGGGCAGTGTTTGGCTGCGGCGCAGTGCTGCATACCCCAAGCCTGAAGGCTTGGCAGGCCCCAGCTTCAGCGTGACCATGTGTGCGTGGCAGTCAGGGTTCATTGCTTCACCTCCTGCAGCTGCTGAGGAAGAAATCAAGCCATGCAATCCCCAGGATTGAGAAAAGTGGGGCGCCCCTCACTGCGCATGTCGCACCTTGAAAGCCAGAACGTGCCGCCGACCCCCGCCCACGCTGGCGCCCACACCCCGGCCGGCAGCAGCCGCTGCAGCGCCGCCAGGCAGCGCAGCGCCGGCCGCGCGAGCGCCTTGCCGCGGAAGCCGGCAGAGCGGTGCGCGGCGACGGGCATGGCGGCGCGGCAGATGAGGGGCTCCAGGCAGGCCAGCAGGGCGTCCTCCCAGGAGGAACCACCTGCGGCGTCCGCCCACAGGGCGTCCTGCAATCACGGCGTTGGGCGGCAGCGTTGGTATACATGGTATGGATTTGCGAGCGATTGCGACCCTGATGCATGCGGAGGGTTTTGTTCGCAGTGGTGCGTCAAGCACCAGGACCGGGAGCATGCCTTGTGGCCGCTTGCCGCGGCGGCTCCCGAGCAACCCCTGTGCAATCACCTCCTGCCCCGGCAGCGCCGCCCACTGCCGCAGCCCCGCGAGGACCTCCTCCAGCGCCGCCGCCGCCATGGCCCTGCACGCCGGGTCGCCCTCCTCGTTGCCCGCAATGCCGCCCGCCAGCAGCTCCAGCAGGGCCGGGCCCCCCAGGGCGCGCAGCAGCGTGATGTTGGCGTCGACGCTGCTGTGCAGCCGCGAGCACCTGCGGGGGCAGGGGGGAGAGGCGCCCGGATGCGAGCCTTCAAGGTTAAGAGCCACACAGATCCGTGCATGGTATATCTCATGACTGAGCTATCTCCTCTACCCAGGTCCGCAGCGCCTAGTCCCAAGCCCTTAGCCCTAGCCCTCACCGCAGCAGCTGCAGCAGCAGCGCGAGCGCCCGCCTGCTGACGGCCAGCCCCAGCCGCCGCCGCGCCGCAGGCGCCAGCGCGCCGCCGCCCGCGACCTCGTCCTCATCCACGCCCGCCTCGAGCGCCGCCAGGGGCGGCCGGCCGGTGTCGTCGCAGGCCCCGCGCCGGCGGAGCCAGGGCAGCGCGGAGCCGTGCAGCAGCAGCGCTAGCCGCGCGTATTGGGTCTGCGGGGCGGGCGGCGTGCCGGGGAGAGGAGCGGTGTCGAGGGCCCCCTTTTCGCGCCGCGCCGCCCGCGCTGCAGCGGGCCGTTTGCTCTGAAGCAGCGGGCACACCGCCAACGCTGCACAGGGGCGCGTCGATTACTCGTCCTACCACGGGTTGAAATCACAAGACCCAAAAACCCACAGGACCGGACCTGCGGCCACGGCGTCGCCAGCAGCAGGCGCTCCATCAGTGGCAGGAGCTCCAGCCACAGCTCCTGATCCTCAGCAGTGACCGGCGCCGCCCCCAGGAGCCGCGCCAGCGCGTCCCCAAACGGCGCCGCCGCCAGCGCGCCCAGCCCCGGCCCGCACGACGCAAGCCGCCGCAGCCCGCGGAGCGCGCGGCCGCAGTCTGCGTGGGTGCGCGCAGACGCGGCGGCGGCGAGCGCCGCGGGCGCCAGGTGGGAGGCGTCGAGCGCAGATAGCGTGGCCGCCGTCGCGTGCAGCAGCTGCTGCGGGACGTCCAGCCCCGCCGGCGGCGCGTCGAGCAGCTGCCGCGCAGCTGCCGGGTCGCCGCCCGCGAGGCGCAGCAGGCGCTGCTGCGCGACGAGGCGGCGCCGCGCCGCAGCCGTGGCGCCGACGCCGGCGCCGCGCTGCTGCTCCTGCTGCTGCTGCTGCGGTTGGCCCTGCTGCGCAGCAGGATCCGGGGTGGAGCTGTCATTGTCCCGCCGCGCCGCCAGGAGGTCGAGCGGGACGACTCTGAACGGAAACTTGTTCGCCTCTGCAAACGGCGCGGGCAGCAGAACTGCCCCCGTCCCCGGCGGCACCAAGCTCCAGCCCGCCGCGCCTGCCGCCACCACGCCGCCGAAGCGCCGCGCGGCACTGGCTGCGTAGCCGCGCCAGCGGCGGGCGGGTGGGCCGAACGTGGCGACGGCAAGCAGGCGGGCAGCGGCGCGCCGCATGAAGGTCAGCGGGTGGAAGGCGAGCGGCAGCAGCGGCACCAGCAGCCTGCGCGTTGGGATAGGGAGGAAGTGGCGGCTCAGGACCCAGGGAAACCGTTGGGGCGGGCAGGAAATAGTAGCTTGAGTGGGCGGCGAGTGGCGGATATGATACATGAAACGTGGTAGGATTGCGGCCGCAAGCTTGTGGTTGTGAAGCACATGCAGCATCTGCCGCCCCAGCTCGTGCCACCAGATTTTAACCCCCGAACCTGCCCCCCACCTGTCCGCGTCGCCCGTCAGCCACGCCAGCGCCTTGGCGCTGCGGGCGCACGCGCCAAATAGCAGCGCGAGCGCCGCCGCGGGCAGCTGCAGGCCAAACAGACCGCCGTCCCCGTCGCCGCCCTCGCCGCCGCCGTCCTCGGCAGCGTACCTGCAAAGGCAGTCCAAGGTTTTGGTTTGTGAGGTGCTGAGCCAGGCCTGACCTGAATGCGACCATCATATGGAAAAAGGGTCATATTGATGTGCTGTACCACTTGTCAGCAGAGATCCCGCTGCCTCAGCCTACTCCCTGGAACGAACCGCCAGGCGGCAACCGCACGGCCGCGCGCGCCACTCACCAGGCCGGCGCCGCGAGCAGCCACAGCGCCTCCAGCTGCCGTGGCTCCGCGAGCACCCCCAGCAGCGCGGGCGCGGCCGCCAGGGCCAGGAGCTGCTCCGCCGCAGAGCGCCGCAGCTCCGGCACGAGCTCCCTGGCGGGTCGAGGCAGGGGGGGCCCGCGTCAGTCGGGGCCCGGGAGCGGGTACAGGGGAGACGGCCACGCAGCGGCTGAGGCCCCGGGGCTAGCCAGAAGGCGTGAACAGGCGGCCGGAGTTGCGGCTGGGCTGCTGGGGCAGCCGCCGGCGGCGTTGACGGAGGGTGCCCATTTGAATCGCCTCACATCGGCCCCATTGGCAGCCGCAAGCGGTGAATCATGATCATCGTCTCTAGTCAATCATGCTCAATTCGTATGATGATTATCAAGCTGAACGCCGCCCCACCTGTTGTGTACCACCTCCAGCAGGCCGGCCGCGTCCGCCGCCGTGAAGTTTGCCGCCAGCGCCGGTGACGCGTCAAGCACAGGGTCGCGGCGCGCGGGGCCGCCGGGCGGCCCGCCGCCGTCCAGCAGGCCGCGGAAGGGGTCGGCTGCGGGGAGGGCCGCGGGCGGCGCGAAATGAGAGGCCGGTCGGGGACAGGTATTAACGGCAGAGGGGCCTTCAGCTGCATGGGAGTGCTACGATTTGTGCATGTGCGCAACCCAGGATCCCAGCCGGGCATGTGCTGCAAATCACGTGAGCCGCATTGTGACTCATTAGGCGATTCTTTCATGCCACGGCTGCCACTCCTCACTGCCCACGCCCCACAGCGCAACCCGGGTCAGCGCTGCACCCACCCCCATTAGCCGCGCCTTCGCTTCCGCCATCGTCCCGCGCCAGCCCCGGCGCCACCGCGGCCAGGAGCTCACGCCCCGCGCTCTCCCTGTCCTCTGCAATCCTGCTGAACAGCCGCTGAACGAGCGCCGCGCCGCGGCCCTCCCAGCGCAGGCCGCCTGCAACACCCCTCTCCTGCTGCTCTCGCTCCTGCTGCTGCTGCTGTTGTTGCTGCTGTTGTTGGTCGTCCTCGTCAGCGCGCGCATCCACGCAGTCCGCCAGCGCGAGCGCGTCCGCATCCCCCCTGTAGCACCCCGCCCACGCGCGCCACGCCAGCACGCCGCGCGCGGCGCCCGCGCCGCCAGCCCGCAGCGCGGCCATCAGCACGCGCGCAGCGGCGCGGCGGGTGG